AATGCCTTTTTTGACCTAGTTTTAGTAATTCTTGATACCCATCAGCATTGCATATATGTGACCTTGAAGGAACGTACGTTTTTCCAGAAATTCAAACCTGCACTACTCACTGCTCCAGTTACAGACCTTATTACTAGGCTAGAACCATGAGTCTCCCATGTAGGACTGCATTTAAATCTCGTCTTATGATCACTATAGAAGTCAACTTGCTATGATTAGTAGAAGTCTGTCTGTTCGAACACAGCAAATTGTTTAGCTAAATTATCGGAAACTCTACCAGTTAACATCTGTCATCATTAGGGACATGATGTCTGTATATCTAACCATCTGTTGTTCAGTTTGTGCAACAACGAAGAGAGAGTAATATACCTGAGAATATATCTTGTGTTACTATGTCTATATGTTAGTACTACTAGAACTCAAGGTATTTCAACATCACATATATGTCCCATGACCTCGCCTGGTTAACTAGTTCACTAGTTACTTGCCGGTCCTAACCCCCGATAAAGAGGGAAGGTTTAGCATAGGGCTAGCAACCCTACTCCGGAAACCAATCCAATCGCTGAAGAAACTTCAAAGCACAAAGATATTATGAAAAATAAAATTGAACTTATTCCTCACTGGAATCGGAGGGACGAAATGATGCCGGTTGGAGAAAGCTTTTGGCAGGCCAGTCGGCCGATGTGTCTTCTCTCGATGAAAGCGAAAGTAAGGATGGAGACATGGAATGTCCGCACCATGTACTAACCTAGCAACGCTGCACAGACTACGAAAGAGATGAGATGATATGACATTGAAGTACTTGGAATCTGCCAAACTGGGAGCAGAAAGCACAGAAGGAGAACTCATCATAGGTCGAGAAGCACTCAGTGAACTGATGAATGAGAATGGAGAACTGTTTGCAGACTTCTGCGCACTCAATGACTTGGTGATTGGAGGCAGTGTGTACAAACGCAAGGATATTCACAAGGCAGAGACATCGATTTGATTTCACCATTCACCAGATGGACACACTACACTAAAAAACAGATCGACTTCATCTGAATGTGAAGAAAGTGGAGATGGAGACGCAGTCAGCTTACTGGACACAAGATCAGATGAAGAAGGGGGGCACATGTTGGTTCACACAACTCAAAATCTCTTGCAAGTAACCTAACTTCAAAATCAAGTTGAAAGCTTTCAAAGAAGTTGATGATAGGCGACCAGAGTTCAAGTTGAACATCCAGAACATGAACTGATGGATGAAACTACAAAGGACATCTTCATGTCAGTCAGTCATCAGGGAACAATAGAAGACATTGAGCAACATCGAAGAGGAAACCTGCGTTGAAGAAGACTGGAACTCTTTGAAAGAGACGTGGAAAGAAACCTGCATAACCGTGTTAGGAAGAAAGAAGAAGAGACAAGACAAGGCAAGGTAAGGAATGGATGTAGATGGACAGATGGAAGCTGATAGAAGAGGGAGAGGAAGACGTAGATGGTGAAGCAGAAGACAAACCAGTGCGAGGATGAGCAATGAACAGCCGAAGTGAACATAACCTATAAAACACAACATTCGACAAAGAAGTGAAGAAGAGTGCTCTCAAAGACAAAAGACACTTCTACGACGTACTTGCAAGTGAAGCAGAACAGGCGACTGGTTGGAAAGACCTGACAACATTGTATCAAATAAGCGGGTTATTATCTGGGAATGAAAAGATCAACACAGATGAAACCAGTGCAAGATAGTGAAGGAAACCTAGACAGCAAAGAGGAGAAATAAAGGAAACAATGGGCTGACCACTGAAAGGTGGGAAAGCGGTAAGACAAGCAGATGAAATTCCTCCACAAGCACTGAAAGCAGACTCAGAGACAACAGCAGACATGCTCACGCCACTATTGCGGAAAATTTGGAAGGAAGGAAAGGTACTTGCCGATTGGAAGAAGGTCTACCTTGTCAAACTCCCAAGGACGAGAGACCTAAGTCTTTGCAAGAAAAAGAACTGGCGCGAAATCATGCTCCTGTCCACCCCAAACAAAATACTATGTCGCATCATACTTGAGCGAAAAAAAGATGCCCTGCATTCAAAATTATCACCGGAACAGGCTAGCTGGCTTCAGGAAGATTAAATCATGTTCGGACCAAATTGCAACAATACGCATCATCATAGAACAGAGTATAGAATGCCAGTCAACTCAACTCTAACTCAATTTTGTCGATTTTGTTAAGGCCTTCGACAGCGTCGACCGAGAAGTAATTTGGAAACTGCTTCAATACCACGGAGTAACACAAACTGTTATCAACCTCATTCACCAAATATATGACAACGCCACATGCCAAGTGATTCACAATAGAAAGGTCAGCTCAGTGACGCCTTTGAAAAGAATACAGGTGTAAAACAAGGCTGTCACCTACTGTCACCGATGATCTTGCTGACTGTAGTCGACTGGACTGGATAATGCAGGAAACTGTGAGGACATGTGCATACACTGGCTGGACCGATGAAAAGACTTCAGAAGGTGATTTGGATTTCGCCGATGATTTATGTCTAATGTCTTGTCGCACAAACTCGAAGATCTACAGGCAAAAACCAACAAGTTAGTAGAAGAGGCGAGGTGAGGCAGAGAAGACCGGACTTCCTTTAGGTGGACGCAGAAAAGACACAGGTGATGAAGATACCCAGCCAACAACAACAACAACAGCAACAACAAGCACCAATCAGAAAGAACGGGAGAAACCTAAAGGAGGTAGTCTCTTTCACCTACCTATCTGCCTAGGCAGCATCGTTTCAACTACAGGCGGCACAGATGAGGGTGTCAAAACCAGGGTCGGAAACACAGCAAGACAGGCCTTCCTTCATTAGTCTTAAATCAGTGCAGAGATCTACTGCACTGCACTCAACATACAGTGTGAACAATATCCAGATTTTCAACACCAATTCAGTCAAATCAGTGCTTCTATATAATAGGTGAGAGACTTGATGCGTTCCGGAAAGCATTTCCAACAAACTACGAACATATAGGGACAGCTGCCGCCTACGTTCACTCAGTTCTGAAGATCAGATGGCGAGAAAGAATAAGCAACAAGGAACTCTGACTGGGTGGCAACGACCTAACCAGGAGCCCATCGCCAAAAAAATATATAGAAGAAGAGAGTGGAGGTGGATTGTGTATACACAGAGAAGACTGTTTGGGAATATCATGCACCAGACCAGGATGTCGAGTGGAATCCAAAGGGGAAACGAAGAGTTTGGCGTCCAAGTTGAGGGTGACATGGAGGAGATAGTGTGAAGAAGAAATGAAAGGTAATGGGCAGTCGTGGAGCCAGGTTGTGAAGAAGAATGCAGAGAAGAGAGTAAAATGGCGACGTGGTAGTGAAGCCCTATGTTCTACTATGAACCTAAGGGACAAATAATAATGATAATATATGTTTCATAGTGAATAGGAGGGATAATCCCTGCATTTTTTCCCACTTACTAAGTTGGAATATAAGCTAAATAATAACAGTGCATACTAACATCATAACATAAAAGAAAGCCTGAAACTTCTGGACTTTCTTGGACAACATATGGTCCTCTTTACAGTGCGCTAGAATATGGTACCACATATTTTTTAACCTCAGTTAATCTTCGATATAAAGTAATCAACATCCTCTGTCCTTGATCCCAACGTGAACGACATTATACACGTATGCACTTCAACTGGATGAACTCCATTACATAACGAGAATTTCCATCATCGCATTCAGACAAACAGACAAAAATCACCGTAGAACTAGATCGGTTCAAGCTGCTACACTTCATAATATTATACAAAGAGAAAGTGGTTAGAAAAAGACTCATATCAAAGTAGATAAAGCTGTATTGGGGAAGAGGAAATTTAAAAACTAGGGTAAGGGAAAACATCGGAGCATTAGAAGGCATAAAAGAGAGAATAAATTCGCACCATTATGACAGATTTTCAGCCCTCTCTATAAGCATCCTCAACCACTGATTCCTACCATCACAACGAACCTAATACAGCGGTCTGTACCTTCCCACCTGACTCAGGCAAACAGTCAGAGACTTCATCAAGAAGTCCTACCTCTTAGTCTGGCCACCACGAACCCTCTCACAACCGAATACAAGTTCTCCCAGTATTGCCCATTAAGGTAGGTAGTGGCTCGATACTTGCAGTACACGTCCAAGCTGCTTTAGTCAAGGAAGGTTCGAGAACTCATTGAGTGGCCTGCTTTCTTTGCCTAGTACCCTTCACCATACCTCCATATTGCTAAGATAGTGATTCGTCAACATACAATCAATGTTACTGAGGCATCTATGATCAGATATTTGTAACCGCTTCATGTCTTCTACTTTCAATGGCTATATCTCACGACCGTACAACAGGACAGAATAGAGTGCAGCTTAGTGCACTCGTTCTTTGATAGATAGTCGGAAATCTCGCCAGCTGGCGCCAAGGATGACCCAATTTGGCAGATGCCAAATAGACCTTCCCCATCTGAGCAGAGATTTTGTCGGTAATCAGCTTGTTCAACTTGGTGCAACTCCTCAATTTAGTGAAGTGTTCAATGCATTCCACCACTTCCCTCCCCCAATCGTTTAACCATGAGTAGTTGCTAACCAGTCCCAAAGAGTCCTCTTAAACTTAACAGGTACGAAAGATATACCAAACATACTCATAAGATTTCTGGCTACAACAATCAGAAGACCCTGAATTTTATCAGCGTCTTTACCTAGAAAAACAATGTCTGCGTAATCAAGGTTCAATCAATCACTTTCTGACGAAAAATTCAACCATTTAATCTCTGTAAAAAGGGTACTGACAAACACTTTTTAAAAGGATTTATTTAATATTCATATTTATGTATGACTACAGTCTGATGTTTCACAAGCCAGAAGGTTCCCTGAGTGTATATAACTAGGAAGATGCCAGCAATTATTAGTTAATACTGCCAAAACAATACAGCAGAAACTTCACTAACATATTTATTGCATATATATGTAAATGAAATATTCACTGACCTGTTCATAAACTGGAAGTTTTGCCAATCGTTGTTTAATCTGTAAATCAGTTAGAGGTTTCCTTCTGTCTAACTCAAACATTGTACTATTCCAAGATGTCCTTCTCAAGTGGTATAGCTTATTCACTCGGTAAACAGATAACAATTATTTGACTATTTATAGTGGAATGAATAACTAAACGAACAATATATTCACTTTATTTTCTAGCTGAACTATAAACAATTTTTAAACATTAAAAATAAAATTCTAGTTAGTTATTTACTTGACTAAAAGTACACATCACTATGGTTACAATTTTTAGAATGTATTTGTAGGAAATAAACGTTTAACAAAACCATTCAGTTAGTTTATCAGTCAGGTAAACCAATAACTTATATTGAAGATGATAATTACGCAATAAAATATACAGGGAAAATTTCATTTACTTAGTTGAAATTATGTATTTATTGCTAGGGGTTGTATGAAACCCAACCAACACCACCAACAACAACAACAAACTCCAATCACTATGAAATGTAAAGGAAGGAGCCTCATTCACCTATCTGGGTAGCATCGTTTCAACTACAGGCGGCACAGACGAGGATCTCAAAGTCAGCCAGAATCGGAAACACAGTAAGATAGGCGTTCATCAACCTGAAACCAGTGTGGAGATCTGCTCTCAGCATAAAGTGTGAACAATATCCGGATTTTCAACACCAATCCAGTCAAATCAGTGCTTCTATATGGTTCAGAGACTTGACGCATCATGAAAAACATTTCGGAAAACCTACAGATGTTCATCAACAACTGCCTACGCTGGCTCGTTACTGAAGCTCAGACGGAACTCTGGAAATGAACTAACCAAGAACCTATCACTCAACGAATATGCGGAAGGAAGAGAGTGGAGATGGATTGTGCATACACTGAGAAGACCATTCAGGGACATCATGCACCAGGCCATGTAATCGAGTGGAACTCAGATGGAAAACGACTAGTTGGGCGTGGGAGGTGAGGGTGAAATGGAGGAGATAGTGTGAGGAAGAAATAAGAGCTTGTGGACTGTCGTGAAGCCAGGTTGAGGAGATTGTGGAGAAGAGGGTGCACTGGAGGCATGCTACTGAAGCCCCATGTTCCACTAGGAACACAAGGGGCAAATAATAATAATAATAATAATAATAATAATAATAATAATAATAATAATAATAATAGTAATTCTAGTGGTTGTATTCTGTAATAGAAAGTAAATTCATATTTCGTTGTATTCACGCTTCATCAGATGCAAATATGAACTAAAATGAATTTTAATACTCTAAATAACATTGAATATTTTCTAACAAGTAAAAAATTTTACTTCATAGAAAAAATCAGTTTTTCTTGTCGAATAATGTACAGACTGGTGATTCACTTCTAGACAGACTTCCTGAAGTTTTCGTAAGAAAACATGACCTATAGCGTGAACTAAGTCGAGTGTATCGATAAATACTTGCCGATGACATCAGATGATGTTCAGATGATATCGCACACTGATAAAGGTTGAAAAATGTGAATCATCAGATCTTGATCCAGTAGTTGAATGATGAACTGTAAGCTGCAAGACCTGTAGAACTTGAATTCTGTGCCACTTGACATTACAGAATCGCACAGCTAAAGATATTCAGTGGGACCAGTTTTTCTATGATTTTCTGAGCGATTTTGGTATGTCGTAAAAACTTCTTTTAAACAACTTCAAGGTTCTTTTTCCTTCTTTTTAATATGAGCTACAAAATCTAGTGGAAATGAGTTAACTGACAAATGCTTACTCACCTCCTTAACGGTTGCTTGATATCCTGAAAGGACACCGTCTTACTATGATCATTTAGGTACTAGGATGTAGCCACTCTGTATAGGAGTTATCTGTGAGCTGACAAGTATTGTGATTAGTGCTTAGACATACCTTATGTTAATAAAACTTAGCAGATAGCCAAGTCACTTACATGATTAGCTAGAACCTACTAACACTCATCATTAGCAGATAAATCAAGGTAGTCCAAACACTAGATGGACCTCTGCTTTCTTTCAATGCTGAACGTTTCAGCAGATGAATTCGAATTAAGTAACTTAAACAGTGAAACTGTTATTTTTTAGGATAGTTACAGTCTCATGTGCTAATTTCGGTTCACTTGAAGCGTATGACAGTGTTAAGTTAGCGGATATCATCAGTTGGAAACTTCAAACTTCATAATAATTTTTTTTTTAGTGAACTCACAAGATGATCCCATGACTTCAAATATTTCGGTCTCCTCATAGTTTCTACAAGTAGGCTTGGCATTGGAGTCCTCAAAAGCAGTTATCATTTGCTGGGACAATGCAAAATAGTGGACACGTCAGAATTCATTTACCACTGATTACAGGCATATTCACCTCTCTCTGGAAAGCACAGGTTCACTGAAAGCACTAGACACAAACTATCAAATTTTTGACTCAAAGTTCAATTAGGATTAGTCCATAACCTTCAGCATTATACAAATGGTAACACTAATTCGGATATTATGAACCAAGTACCACAAACTCAATATAATGTGAGACTACATTAGTTCTGATGTTTTGCAGCATCCATATTCTTTCACCTGTTAAATTTATATTCAATAGCGACGAACGAAGAAGTACAGAACCAGTATTTCATCCCATTCAGCATTCATTAGCTAAATGTAACAACACGTATGTCAGCGACTCCATTAAAATTGAAGCACAGCACGTTTTAATTCCACTTTCAGGTCAAAAGCTTCGGTAAAAAAATCTTTCGTTTAGCGTATTAAATAAAGAAACTGAGACTGTCTGGTATACCTCAACTTCTACTTTCACCATTTATTAATCCCTTCTTTTGACCTATTCTTCTCTATTGTCTTCTAAAAGTCGATTATGTTATATTGTGTAGGGCTTTGAAAGCCGTCAGCAAGTAGGGTGAGTGGTGTGCCTCTGACCCAGTTGGTTAACATTGTAGTTGATAGACATTTAAATTCTGGCCAGGAACTAGCTACAGTCATTTTAACTGACACTGTGTATCCACTTGATTCACAGCTCTTTCCCTGTATCTGCTCAGGGAAGACAAGAAGAAACTACATCAAACTGTACGCTTGTATAACTAAGTAGAAGAATTCAACTGTACCGGATCTGGCACGCGTATTATGTGAGGAAGAGGGTGTTAGAACAGAACTCACACATCAACTTTGTAACAATAAATAATCTCTTTCTAATAATTTAACTAACAATATAAAATTTTTTGGTTATTAATAATCTTTGCATTATTTCAAGTTGTTATTCATCGTAAACTGACATCAGTTGGAGGAACGAAGGAAGGCTGGGAGCACTGGACAGCTGTTTCGTCCTAGTATGGGACTCCTCAGCAGTGCGCACCCACAACCCCACCAGCAGGGATCGAACCCGCGATCTTCAGGTTCCCCGGCGAGCGCGTTACCATTGAGCTAGCCACTGGGTCAGAATCCAAAAATTTAATTTAAAATTTAAAATTTAATTGAACTGGTGCTCACTGGTGACTAGTTTCGAGAGGTAGTCCCGAAGTTCCAATGACAAGTCGTGACCGGTGGAGTCAAAGCCTGATGGCCATGAGGACAAATACTCAACGATGACATTGGGTGGCGGTTGTGCTATATATCATGAGCTAACAGAAGTTGGAAATATGGAGCATTGGATTCTGACCCAGTGGCTAGCTCAATGGTAACGCACTGGCCGTGGAACCTGAAAGTCGCGGGTCCGATCCCTGCTGGTGGGGTTGTGGGTGCGCACTGCTGAGGAGTCCCACACTAGGACGAAACAGCTATCCAGTGCTCCTAGGTTTCCTTTGTTCCTCCAACTGATGTCAGTCTACGATGAATAACAACTTGAAATAATTCTAAATCTCCACAACCCCCTCAAAATTTAATCTTTCCATTACTTAAATCTGAATAAAAACACTACTCGAAATGTTGTAAAGGAGTCCATTTTGTTGTTGTTGTTGTAATATATCATGCTGAGAATTTGAAATTGTACCACAAATTGTTTGAAATAAAGTGAATATTGTAATTATAAGCCTAAGGAAGTCGAATAAATCTTAAATATTATGAGTGATGTTACGAAGATAAAAGTCAGAATTTTCAAAAAACTGCGATTAACTTTACCCAGAATAACATTGACTTTGTAAAACGATACACTAAGGAAGAATGCTGGGATATTAGGGAAAGATTTAGTTTTGAACTATGGGGAATTCCTAAGTTAAGCAGAAAATCAAATCCCTGTGGGGATTACTGTAGGATTTTAAAAAACTATATAAGGCATTTCAACGTTACACATCATCATAGAATGAAGTATAGAATGGCAGTCAACTCTCTACCTCAACTTTATCAACTTTGAAAAGACCTTCGACAGAGTCGACCAAGAAGCAATTAGGCAGGCAGCTGCTTCAACACTATGGTTTTAGTGCCACAAATCGTTATCAACCTCATTCAACAACTATATGAAGACGACACATGCCAAGTGATCCACAATGGAAAGCTAAGCTGAATGACGCCTATGAAGTGAAGACAGGAGTAAGACAAGGCTGTCACCTATTGTCACCGATGATTTTCTTGTTTGCGGTCAACTGGATCATGTAGCAAACTGTGAGAAGCTGTGAGAAGATGGGTATACGCTGGTTGGACCGATAAAAAGACCCTAGAAAAGGGTTTGGATTTCGCCAACGATGATGATTTATGTCCAATGTCTTGTCGCACAAAGTCGAAGATCTATAGGCGAAAACTAACAAGTTGACAGAAGAGGCAGCGAGGGAAGATGGGACTTCAAGTGAATGTAGAGAAGACGGAGGTGATGAAGATACCCAACCAACAACAACAGTATCAAGAACAAGCACCAATCACCATGAACAGGAGAAATGCAAAGGAAGTGGTCTCTTTCACCTACCCACCTACCTAGGCCGCACTGTTTCAACTACAGGCAGCACAGATGAGGGTGTCAAAACCATGATCGGAAACACAGCAAGACAGGCCTTCCTTCATTAGTCTGAAATCAGTGTAGAGATCTACTGCACTGCACTCAGCATAAAGCGTGAACAACATCCCGATTTTCAACAC